ACTCGTGTTATGGCACGTCCTAAGCATACACATAGACTTGCTGCTGTGCTTACACGAAACTCACACGTTAACAGATTACACTCGCGTACTTTATCAATTCGACAAAATACACGCCCACAACTTTCTGCATACAAAATCCAAACATAAGTGTGAGTATTGTATGATTCCGAATCGTTCACACAGCAGCCGGCCGATGCTCCCTACGCCTAATAGCAAGTTCTATCACTTCACATGTGATCCCTTCAACCGTTTACCCTAACCAGGACCTAAATTACAGTTACTGCGTTGGATGCTCTGCGGTGCCAGAGTGAGGACGCTATATAGGGTCGTCCCTCTCGCGCGAGAAAGCATAGAGCAATAACAAGAGGCCCTTGTGCTCGCTCACAACGTCACCCGCCGCAGTACCTGCTCGGCCTGACTCGTTGGCTAACGTTCCCGATACGCGTGCCATGAACTGTGACCACCACAGTTGCGCACGATTTTGAGATATTTTTGAATTCGGAAATTTAGTCACCAGTCAGTAGGCGAAGTACCGTCCGCCTCCGATTTACCTCCCATATAATCATCAAACTACAATTATTTGAAACGTACGGCGTTTTGAAGAGTAAACAAAGATAAACGTGAACCTTCAGCCCCCGGATGTCGATCAACCGCCCAAATTAACAAATAATTACAAATGAATCGTTCACATCGTGACTGCGTCGTCTGCCTGCTTTAAGCCGCCATGCGCCAGTTGCCAGTTTTGTGTCAGACCAATTACTATTACAATTTTTATACTTTTATCCTCATTTTCAGGTACTGTGGTATTGCTTATATGTAATCATGAATTTCGAGATTGTTTAGTGGCGGTTCTCTCTTGGCGCTACCGTCTGACCAATGGCAGCGAGCTCGAGCGCTCACCTGGATCTGGGTCAAGTCCTTTTCTATAAGTTTTAATGCATAGAACATCAACCCAGAGGTCGCGGGCGCTTGCTCTCACTTATGTAATTACAAATTGCTGTTATTTCGTGGCCAGACATTTAAGTACGCTATCGTTAGCAGTGTTGTTTAGGATCAGTAAAACAACGAATGGTGTTTCATAAATGCACCGAAACAATTGTGGTGCGGTGGAGGCTGCGACGGCAGAAGCTCGCTAACAACCACGCAACATCAAACGTAACGTACAGATAAATTATCTTTTAGCAAAACATCAATTAATATCAGAAATATAATTAAAACTAACGTACTATTATAACTCTGAATTATTTAATTTTAAGTTTTGCAGTTGAATCGTTCCGTATCTAGTGCCCTATGTAGTATGTATAACACTTAAAGAGGGGGGGCGGCGCGGGCGTCGCCGCTGGCACACTCGGCCCACGGACCCGCTAACGTAACACTAATTCGTTAATTCTTACTGTAATACGAACTTGGCGATAACACTACCGGATACAATTTCAACTCAACACGGGCAATCTAATTAATACTCTAAAACCACATTGTATTATTGACATTCTCTACGAAGTACACTTAATACATAATCTACTATGGTAATTATTTTATACCAGGCCTCCGGCACGAGAGCAGCGAGGCTTACAGACAGACACTAGGCATATTATTATTACAATAAGAACAATTTACACAAAACCATTTACACCAATAAAATCTGTAACAACTATCCATTCGTCCAATAAGCATGAAAGTAGTCCTGTTAAATTATATCGTTTGGGTCCGTGGCACATTTTTGTTTACTCACATTGGGCGATTGATAATCGCCGGAGTGTGTCGGCGGCGTGCGACACGCAATGAATATTATAATAATTGACTATCATATCGGCCGAATACGGCGGAATATAGCGTGGGCACACGTTCGCCGTTACAAATACGGAAACACAGTACGACATGACGTTTGAATTAATTGTTATAAAAAAAAAAAATTTAAAAATCTACCATTCTTTAAGCACTAACTACTTCCCCATTAATTTAATGATTTTATTATAATGTTATATGTTTTTAGTTTTTGCCATGTCACTTAATTAATAAGAGTAAAGCCCTAATCTTAATTATTATCTCAAAAACGGAATGTCACCAGAAATAATCCATTACATTGTCATCCAGGGCTGCGGTTATACATTTACGATGGTAATTCTACCATTTCAATTTTATTTTGATAAAAGTACAAAAAATATATCGGCACTGGATGCAATCGAATCGCCCAATGGACGGGCGCACTACAAAACAATAAGTGGATGCGAACGTGTGCCGTAAACGATATAAAATCTTAAATTAATAGTAGTGATCGAAGCGTGTACGAGCGAGGCGAGGGTAGTACGGGTGAGGGGGTGCTTGGGGTGGTGGCGGGGTGGGGCGGGGGGGCGCCGCGCGAGGTATCACAGGGGGCAGGACACGAGCACTCGGCCACACGCGGACAGCACTCGGACACTGCGCACGGGGCCGGCGGCAGGGGAGATACTACACTGAACTTGTCACGGCTGACACTACATACAGTGAACGAATTACAACTGGATGAATAGAATTAAATAAAACTCGACGGTCCTTCGAGCCGGATCCTAAATCAATATTGGGAAAACATGTGTGAATACTCCGCCGGCCCCACCATACAGAGAGATTCCGAGAAAATGAAAATTTCCTTAGCGAAACATCCAAATATCTACTGCCTATAGCCGACTTAAACTCACGCGATAACTAGCTCCACAACATATAGACACTATGTTAATATTAACTTTATGTTATACATCTTTATATATATAATTAATTTATATTTTATTGACTGCTAGCCGGCACCGTCCGGCCGTGGATATAATTAATTTATATCTCATCTAAATATAATCTCTGTAGATCTTAAATGTCTATGGAACTAAAATTAGATTTTGTACCATATAAAATTGTTGTTCAAATTAATCCACTAGTCGCGGGGAGGCACACGTCACATGTACGTATTAAAATATGTTTTAAAAAAAAATTATACTATTAAAGTGGCAAACAAGCATACGGTCCACCTGATGGTAAGCGGTTACCGTAGCGTATGAACGCCTGCCTGCAATACCAGAGGTATTATGTGCGCGTTACTGATCCTGAAGAACCCCATCTCTTGAAAAAATTACAATTTAGTCAAAAATAAATTTAATAAAAAATTACATAGAGTTTATAATGAATAAAACTCAAAAAAGATTAATCGACTTGGAAAAAAATGATCAAAATTTTTGTTTATAGTATTATAGAGGAAACGTATTTTTCTCAAACATGCTTGGAAATGTGAGCATTATTTTGACAATCTTCTTCGAAATAAATCAAAATTGCCGTACTGGCCAAGATACATGCGGGCAGAGACCGGCAAAAGTTGTATGAAAATCCATATCTGTCGTGTTTTGCGCCAGATAATTTACTATTTAAACTCATATCTGTCCTGTAATTTAAAAATGGAATGACGTTTTACTTCGAAACATGGCTACCAAGGAGGTAACTCATAAAAGGTTTTATTTAAATTTCGAATTGGCTTGCAAATAGAAGCTGTTTATTGAAAAAAAAAAAAAACAAAGGAACATTATGGCGCGTGAAAAATTATTATTGTTCGTTATTCGTCATTGAACTCAAAAAGTAAAATTGTGTTTTTGATTTCCGCGCATTGTTTGAGAAAAGTACTATACAAGCCTTGGCCACAACTAGGCATTGATGGACGAACGTGCAAATACACATACGTGAGTCCTGCCTCAGTTGCTGGCCGCTGTAATAATGTACTATAATTTACTCAATTTTACTGTACTACTACCTTAATAACAATTATTTACACCAACACTTTATTGACAGCACATTAAATAAAACAAGTAATCCTTTATAATATTTTACGGTAAATTTAAATACATGACCATAAGTGGCCAAGTGCGCCCCCCCGCGAGCCAACTTTAAACACATGACAAGCAATACAGAACACCGGACTATGTTCGCACGGCGCCCCCGAGCCCCCGCGCCGGGCGGGACTAAGGGCGGGGACGGGGCCTACCCGACCCCAAAACATAACTACCCTAACTTACATACAAAAATCATGAAACCGAGCCGCCCCCACTGCATATATTTCTATTTTATTATTCATATAGAAAGTGTATTTTTTTATATTTTTTTTTCTCTATACGTAACACTTTATCGGACGTCACCAACTTATTCCACACTATGTTAAAGATTATGGGTTTTCAGAGGAAAATGTACTGAAAATTAACCTATATTAAAGGTCGATTTAGACTGCACCTAGTTACAGCTACACGTTTCAATACTAGATAATCGTATAGAATCGAATGATGCAATCTAAAACGTTCACTATTTCTATGTATTTGTAAGGGTGAAAAATACATTATATTCTGTAATGAATACGATTTCTGCAGATCTCAGAAAAAAAATCCTGGATCGAGCCAATTTTAATGGAGATCTGTAGAATTTCGTTTACAATTGTCTGCACATGTCATGCACACACTCGACGATTTTTAATCGTCAGTCACCAGAGTGTGGGACGGCGTGCGTCTCAGTGTTTACACATAACAATTTTAGTAGATAGTTCTTAAACAGATCACGATGGCGAAGCTGCAGTAACCTACAGTTAATTATTGCAATGTAGTGTGAGGAACATGATGTATAAAGCAATGTGCAAGGCCCTTCGCGAGTCTCCGCCGCGGAATCTGATAGGAAACAGACAAAAACTAATTTTCCATCACATAAACACACAAAACAATTAACAAAATATAACCTTAACACTTTATATTAGAATTAAACTTAAAAATTAATAGATAGACGCCAGTCGCACTCCGTAAAACTTATATCTAGACTAAAATATAATTATACAATACATATATCCCCGCTGTGGTCCACAAGTTGCAGTGCAACACGCGAAGAGCCTTAACAGTAGCGGGGGAATCGGGTACAAATGTAAAATAGACCTAGAGCATCGCTAATATCCATTAAGCGGGTACAAAGCGCCGACAGTTAGGAGAAATCGCGTGAAATAAAAAAAAATATAATATGCATTCACTGACGGAATACAAAAGTTTATTCTGACAAGAAATTATATATTATATATATAAAGTGATACATAACTACAAAATATATAATAAAAATTAAAAGTAAACAAAAACGTTTACGACAACGATGTATTGTTGAATAAAAATATATATATATATAGATACATATGTATACAGTTCATTCGATATTATTTTTGGGAGCATATGTTTGTCGTAAGCGTCTCTAAGCGGCTGATTCGCGACGGTGTCGCATCGAAGCTACCAATAAAGGGTGAAAACAGTGACGCACTGATAGTTATAAAAGGGGGGAAAACAAATAAGAAATGCATAAATATATCAGTAAAGTAAGTGGAAGGCACGCCCGACGCCTGTTGTAATGCTTACTTAAGCTACTGCGTCCCGCGCACACACACGTACTTACATACATATATACACACACATGCACGCACACATTCACGCTTACGTCACGTGTCCAGTTGTTATTGGACCCTGGGGTGGCGCTGTATATATATGTATATATATGTCCATACGTTCCAATTCATCATTAATATTTCAATATACGTATTGTATACAGCGAGTATACATATTCCAATTTATAGACAGTTCCTTGGACACGTTTTTTGTATATTAATATTATATTTTCAATTGTTGTCATTACTGTAATTATAAAATCTAAGTAGATACATTAGGGCCCGCTTCATTTCATTACATTCACTTAACTAGTTGGTGTTTTAGAATTCATTTTTGATATCGTAAAATAGTAGAAATAATTAAAGCCGAATTTGGTGTTGCCAGGTGACAATTCATGTTGATATAGTAGAAATTAATAATAAGTAGTAGAAATCGATAGTAATTATAGTAGCAATGAAAACAAAGAGTCCAATATCAACTGAACATGGATCAATCAGACCAGGGTGCTTACATAACCAAACTTAACCTACCCACGTGAACGTGGCCGCGCGTGAACGCTGTCTCTACCAACTAGGCGGATAAACGAAAAACAATTTTATATTCAACGAATGCCAGAGACAACGTATATTTTTTTTATAACCAAACCTATATTAATTTAATAATAATTTGAAATTTAGAATTTTTTTTTTCGTTTTATCTTTTAGTGTATATATTTTTTGTGTTCACTTTTAAATATTTATTAAATGGGAAATATTAAATATTTAGCAGCAATTTGTCTTAACAAAAATATAACGTTACACTAGTAAGAGTTATAGTAGTATTTAATATGTTAGGAACGGACGTAGATTAAGATTAGAACATTAAGTGGAAATAAATGAGATTTTCAAGGTAAATGAATAGTAGAATATTGGAGGAGTAGCGGCCTCGTCCACGCCGCGATACTAGATCGCCGGCCCGTACGTACGATATATCACAGCAGCGCTCCTACATAAGGCCGGCCGAGTGCGGCCGCCCCAGTAAACACCCGGTGCCGGTGCGGACACACCCGCGCTGCGGCCCCGCCCTGCCCCTGCCCCTGCCCCTGCCCCCGTCGAGTCCGCTGTGCCCCGGAGACGGCCCTGGCCCCGCCGGCCCTCCACTATCCAATATGGAATATATATTTAATTTTTAATAGTTTTAAATTCGGATCCGTCTCCGAGTGGATTCACCGCAGCGCGGTATGGGCGCGCACTTCCGTGCCTGCCGTATGCATCTCAGTGTAAACAGACAATACACTATTATTAAATAATCCATATTAAAAAAAAACACATACACCTACAAACTAGATAAGTGGCATTTTACATTTAACTTTTTTTTATTTTGTTTCATAATTTTATTTATGATGATGCCGCCAGGGATGTGTTCAAGTCACAAAGAACTCGCGTCACTCGGTCATCCCGCCATACATCGCCTGACTAATATCGTATTACTTAAAAATAATTATGACTCGTAATTGGAATAACGTTAACGTAATTCGTTCATAACGCGTCATGTGCCAAACTATTTACACAAATAAAAAAATAATGTAAATAAAAAATAAAATGATGAAAGCTGTCTAATGTTAGTTTCGGAAAAGTAAGGTGCCTCGGCGGGCGGCTATATAAGTAATAATTTAGATTAAAAGGCCACAAACATGAATGCTGAGCGGAGCGCGGGGGCCCCACTATCACACATACACGCACACATACACACACATACATTCACCTACCCACACACACAGACACACACAAACAAATACACGGGAGTGTATCACATCGATCAAACCAGGGGGCCCGTTCCAATGCAAGATATATATATATATATATAAAAAATTAAATATTTTTCCAATAGCGATGTCTCGTGTCCGGCCACCGAGTGGCGGGGCGCCGCGCTCCGCCGGTACATTACATACAACGAAACCGAAAATAATAAAGCTCAAACGTGTTTATCACATTACCTTACAACTAACGTGTCAAGATGAGAGTAGCTCGCACTACGAACGCGTCAATTTTGAAGGTCGGAGACCTCAGGAATGTCCCGATCGAAAACTCGTAGCGCCTAAATATATATAACATACTAGGATACGTATATAAAATACTATATACACGGGGTGTCAGCGTTCCGGGTGGAAACACAAGGGAACCGAACTCGGGGTGAGATGTGGATGACGTGCGAGCGGGAGGCGTCTGGCGGCGGCGGCGGCGGCGGCGGCCGCGGCGGTCAGCGGGGGCGCCGGCCGCGCGGCGCTCAGTTCGCGGCGCGCGCGCCCGGCCATCAAATGCGGCTCGCGCCGCGGCCCGCCTCCTGCAACGTGCCGCGCTGTACGGACGCACTCCCAGTCGGCCCAACGTGCTCAAATACCCACCAAACAAAAATAAATAAACCAACCCAGTTAGCATAAACACTCCCTAGCCTTTAGGTAATAATGTCCCAAATACCCACAAAATTTGCTAATTTTAAATTGGGCCCATATTTTACTAAGAGTTCAACCCTAACTGCTCATAAATTTGTGCTCCTAATGCGACGAATATCGCCTGATTCCTCGTGACACTTGGTATTTATTTATATTTTACAATTCAATTTTCACTATGATAAACGAACTAAGATTTCTAATAATAATTGGCAAGCGATACAAACATACACACCACGCCTGCCTCTCATTAAGGCTGGCGTGGTGAACCCCCTTTCACTTCCTCCACAATCATCGATCTTTCATTCAAACCAATCATTCACATTAGCGAATTTACAGGGTACAGAGAAATAACACCTGAATTCTCAAGAATGGCAACACATGGGAGTTATGTCCATGGTACTGCTCATGTCTATAGACGATGGTTACCGTTTTCCATCAAATAGGTCGTCAGCTTCCTTGCCATTCTAAGTTGCATAAAAAAAGCTTCAGTACCGTCTATTTGATCGACGTATGACCATCTAAGATGGCCTCTAGCGACATTTACACCCATTCGCGATCTGACATATATCTTTCGTAATTTTCTTCATCTATTTTTTCTACCATGACGAAATAAAAATCCCTTTTGCGGTAATTATCACTACATCATCGTTCAGTTTAACTCATGTCTTTATTATCTTACACCCAAATTTGTCAGTTTTAATTTTTACAACATTATTACTGCCTGCTTTCACGCTTGCTTCTGCCATACAATTCACACCTATAAATTGAGTATCTATGACAAGTGATATCCCGCCAAAAAAAAAAATTTAAAATTGACAGACTATTCTCTTACATTTATCTCTTAATAAAGTAATCTATGTTATTTAAAAACAATGTCATTCGAAATTCAAATATTAATTTATGAGCAATGAGGATTAAAAACTTTATTCTATATAAAAAAGAAAACAATTGTTTGCGATAATCATACGATTTTTTTTTTATATTAGAATTTATTTTTTATTTGACAGATGTCAAACAAATCCTCAGGTATCGTCAGTTATTTTTAATTTTAATTAATATATTGTAATAATTCCTACTATACAATATTACAAATATCCAAATAAATTTGCTTAGCATTTTGAAAAACTCAGCCAATCGTTATGAAATTTGGTATATACATAGTATTTGGAATGGAGGGCACAAGCTACTTTTTTATCCCCATAAAAACTATTATCAAATATTTTTTAAGTATTTCTATTTACCAACATACTTGGCGGAACAGAACGACCGACAGTTTTGATAATATTACATTCTACTAATACTACCAAATTGGTAGTAACTACTGTTACTACCAATTTGTTTTTGTACGAACGAACTAATGAACTGATCGCCTGCTCCTCAAGCTATGATACGAGAAATCAGCCAACGAACAACGTATCCGCCAGATCAGAGGGTTTACCATAAAATGAAATTTCGAATTTTCAGACTTAATTTCGTGTTTTGGTTTATACCGAAATTAACCTTAATATTTTGTCATGAGTTCTAATATAAAAGTCCAAAAGAATGATATAATCTTGTATCATGTAATTTTAAGAATAAATTTGTGTTTCGTTCGGACCCGCAATTCCGGAAAACATTTCACGGTAGACCCTGTGAACGTCCTAGTAGCGTCGGGCGTTCTATTCCGAGCTTGTGTATGATCGCAGTCGCATGCAACTACATGTAAAGTGCTTTGTCAGAATGTGATAAGCGATAAATGTCAGGAGGTGAACGTGAAGGTGAGAGGGCCGCAGGTGTTTGCATGTTTTTTTTCCTATTTTCATTGGTTCGCGGTGGTATGATGTGCTAACGTGTGCGGTGACGATCGCTAATTGCTCATCGATGTGTTTGCGGTGATGTCGCGGGAGGGAGAGCTTCCGCTATTCGATACGTTGTTTGCATGTAGGTGCATGCGCGCGACTAGGGCAGCGCGTGTATACTGACTATGTCTGGCGCGGGCTGCGCGGCCCCGGCGCGGCCGCCGCCCGCCGCCGCGCCCCCCGCGCCCCCCGCCAGCCCCGCCGGCCCCGCCGGCCCCGCAGGCCCCGCGCCGCCCTGCAACACACCACCACCCACTGACTACACGGAAGTAAATCTCGCCGCTAGCGACACATCCTGCCAGCTCGGCGGGGAGGGATTGTTAGCGACCTCCAAACCATCGTGCTGAATGCCAGGTCTGTTTGTCACACCCGTATCTACCCACCATTTTCATTTGCGTAGAAAAATGAATGCTCAACAAGATATCAACAACTAATTATAAACTGTGAACTGTGTGAAATACACAGAATAAACAGTGTTGTTGGGGGGGGGGGGGGGGGGGGGAAGGAATTGTTAGTAATGGGGTCTTAACTAACCCATTGCTAGCAATACAGCCTATCAGATTGACCTCTTCGTTTCTTCGTTCCATTTCTAGTGGAATTCGTCACGATGAACTTATGGCGTGAATTTACTGGGTACAGAGGAATAACACCTGAGTCCTCAGGAATGGCAACGCATGGGGGATATCATGGACGAAACAGTATACTCTGTTATGTCCATGGTACTGCACATATGTATAGGCGACGGTTACCACTTTCCATCAAGTGGGCCGTCAGCTTGTTTGCCATTCTAAGTTGTATAAAAAAAAAGGTCAGTTTCTAAATGAAAACAAGTATTTTTGTCATAATTGATTTTTTTTATAAAACTTCACTTAAAATATCAATTTTCATTACATAACTATAAATAATATATCTAATAACATAGAAAAGATAGGAGAATTTAAAATAAAATCAACAACTATTTTGTTACGTCGTCGATATGGTAAAACCTTGTAATTTTTATATCAGAAGGGGGGGGGGGCTCATAACGTATGGTCAAGTCACCTGGTGCGGGTCCTGCGGATGCTGCGCGCGACACATCTTGTCGCAGTAGTCGGCGAGGATGTCGCGGAACCGCGTCCAACACTTCTCCGGCACTGTGATCGCCGTGCGGAAGTTGCTTTTCACCTGAAATGTCAAATTACGTTTTACAAAATGTGCATTTTTCAGCCAGCACGTGTCATGGTCCTCCGCCGCCGGATAATCTGTGCCACGCCCATAACACTGCTTACTTGTGTATTCTATCATAGGCATGATGTTATCATGTCATTAGACGACAGTTATCACTTATCATCAGGTAGACCATTCAGATTATTGACAATAGTATGTCTCGTAATTAAAAGATACGACAATGCCGCCAAAGTATACACATCTTTCTTTGAGATCCCGTTAAGATTGGATCCTCTCAGGATCAGATTAGCATGAAAGAGGTTTTATAGTAGTGATTGCTATTTATGAAGCTTTAAATGTGAATTACAACAAAGTTTAATATAAAGTGCATTTTCCTAAACACGCCTTAATGCACTGCAGCATTGTCGATTGCAGAAGACAATCTAGTGTCGCTTCATGTTTGTCGATCTAGTGTAAGTTATTATGAGGAGTCCATCTCGAGATTTCTCCTTCTCATTTACACCACTAAATTAAAAATTAAATGTAAAATAACATCATGTCAACGGTCATAGCGCCACACAACGAGATTCCATCGGCCACTGCCATGCAAATAAAATAATTTATTGTTTCCATTTTTTTTTTTTTTTTAGTTCTATCTGTGAGGATAGTTTTAAATCTATTTTTTATACTGTTTACTATATCACAGGCTCAAATTAGGATCCGGCACAATTTGTATTAAAGGTGTTAGTTTATTTATTTATTTTTTTTTTCATAATTTCAACCACGGACTACAACTTGACAGGAATCAGGGAAAACTTGTCCCGGTGTACCTGGAATAAACTCTGGGACGCCAAATTGTCTCGTTTTCAAAAACCACGCGAAAATTAGAGTAGTCTAAGGGCGATATCGATAGTTAAGGTGAATATAAAAAAAAAACATGCCAAGAGTTTCATTCTCATTTAAAATATTCACCACAAATTTGTTCCTCCGATAATTTGTTCATCCTATATTTATCTAACTCGTAACTTTCAAGTTGACTTTTTCTGAATAAATAACTTTAAAAAAGTTTTTTTATTGACTACCTGTTAATTGTCCTAAATATACCGATGTTCCATTTTGAGTCAAAGACGAGACGTGAGTGGTAAACTCGAAATTCGAAAGATGAGTTGCGAATGGTAAATTATAGGAGGTGATACGACTCAATATTAGCACATACATACATACATACATACATATCTGTCACGCCTGTCTCCCATTACGGTAGGCAGAAACAATGGAACGCCAAATGCTTCGATTCAAACATACCTCTTTCGCTTCTTCCACATTCATCAATCTTTTCTTACACGCTCGCCGGTTACGGGTACATTTAATTTGGCCCTTCTTCAGCACTATTAGTGTTCTTTTTTATACCACAAAGGTGGCAACACGAGCATACGGCCCGTCTGATGGTGAACGGTCACTGTAGCCTATGGACATGTACACTGTTGGTAATGAGTTGTAAATGATAAATAGTCCTCCAAGGAATAGTTAGTAAGGTGGCGAGTGTAAAGCGGTTGGCGAGCGCCAGTGGCCGATGCAAGCGGTGTTGCGAGCGCCGCGCCTGCGAGCTACAATTACTTGTAACGATGGTACCACCTCGCTGACTTTCATGTAGATGCCTCGGTTGTTCTGTCCGATGTCGAAGTAGAAGTTCTTATTGTCCACGCGCAGGTGCCGCCCCTCTGGCAGCTCGCCTTTGAAACTGTAATAGTGCGAGCACCATGGTTTAATAATGCCATAACAGTATGCACCTATTAACACGAGCATTTACTGCATCCAAGAATAGACAATTTAAAGTATTATAGACTGAGACATAAATCTTTGGAAAATTAAACCATAATATTATGATATGGTTTGTATGGTATTATAACATTGTAAATATGAATTCGTATATAATCGTCGTCCTTCGTGGCGCAGCGGTCAACACGCCTGCCTGCGACGTGGAGGCCCCGGGTTCGATCCCCGGCCAGGTCATGATGGAAAGCGATCTTTTCCTGATTGTCCTGGGTCTTGGATGTTTATCTATATATGTATCTATTATGAATATAGTACCGTTGAGTTAGTATCCCATAACACAAGTCTCGAACTTACTTTGGGGCTAGCTCAATCTGTGTGATTTGTCCGTATATATTTATTTATTTATTTTATATTACACTGCTCAAAAAAGTCTAAGCAACACATAGGCACTATTTTAAATTATCAATCAATTATTATATAATTTCTTACAAAGTAGGTAATACCTATGGAAACTTTTTCGATCTAGAAGACATACTGGCTGGTTGTAAAAAAAAATCGAGTATCATTTGTTTTTTTTTCACAAATTCAAAAGCGAATGCATTTGTTCGAATTTTATGGCGTTTTCTTTGTTGCTTATTAAAATTTTGTATTCTGTATCAATTTTATGATTTAAACAATAATATGAAAAAAGTTTTGAACAAATTTGGATTTTAAGACATTTTTTACGTCATGGAGCGACGTCAATTGAACACAGATGAAATGCAAAGAGCTGTAGGCATGTTGCAAGCGGGAAGTCAATCTAAGGTATCTCGGTATTTTTGTTTCAACAGAAGCCTTATTTGCCGTCTTCATCAGCGTTACATTAACACGGGAGATATTGCTGAGCAGTATCCAGGTCGAGAAAGGTGTACAACCACACTGCAAGATCGATACATATAACTGACTGCAAGACGCCGATGTTAACCACCCGAGAGGGGGGGAAAGGGATTGTTAGTAATGGAGTTTGACAGCCCCATTGCTAGCAATATGCCTTATTAGGTCGACCTCCACGTGGTTCCCCCTGGAAACCATCGTGAACAATTCTTGTTGAATTCGTCACGATGGTCTAACTGACCTGCTTCATTTTCACCTATCAATCTTCACTGGTGCCCCGCCGGTGTATACCGATTGCGCGGGTGGGATTACCATTCCATTATCATCCATTAAAAAAAAAAACCACCCGAGAGATAGGTTTAAAGCTACAAAATTCAAGTGATGTTGTGGTTAGCTGCCAAACTGTGCGAAATCTTTATTCTTATTTTTATCATTTGCCATAAAAAAAATCAGTCTGATTGATACGATTCTTTTACAAGATTATCGATATTAAATTCTTGAGTGGGATGTCTTATCTACAAATGTTATTTCTGGTTTGCTCCTCAGTGGAAATTAACTTTTTCTAACCTGACAGATTTAAATGGTCAGGATAGTAAAAATAAATGTACAATAAATACAAGAAAAGGAGTGTTTCACTTATTTGATTAAAATGTTTTTAGTCCTTAGTGGGCTGGAGGAGGAAGTGGAAGCAGAGGCGAGGGGGTAAAGAAGCGGGAACGTGGCGTGGGAGTGTGGGTGTGTGGCAGTATGAACGGTGTGGGAGTGTGAGTGATGTGGGAGTGTGGGTGGTGTGGCAGTGTGGACAGTGTGGGAGTGTGGGTGGTGTGGTGCGTGTGCGTGTGCGTGCGACAGACCCGCCGTCGTCGACGCCGAAGTCGTCGAGCAGGTCGGTGAGCGCGTCCCGGAACTCGATCATGCCCTGCGCCGGCAGCGCCACCTGGCTGCGCGGCCCGCCGCGCGTGATCGTCTGCGACACGCGCAGGAACCGCCCGCGCGAGTTCTCCTTCAGGTCCAGGTAGTACCGCCGGTTGTCCTGCCGTCCACATCAACTTACGTGTACTACAACATACTTACTGGTCATTTAAACGCATGAGTCTCGTGTTGAATGACAACTATCATGGAGTTATGCTGTTAATAATTATTTATATAAGCTCCAATACGTAATTAAACTAGAATATTTATTTATGTAATACAATAACATTATTATTAAGCTATCACTGAATTTTTTTATTTGATTAATTATGATGCATACAATGGGCCACCCCCTTCCTTTCCCGTGGGTGTCGTAAGAGACGACTAAGGGAGGGCGAGGGATGGGCAGCAGCGTCCCTCTTAAAACATTTCTAATAGCCTAACTGCGGTTGCCAACTCGCCTGCCGAATATGGCAACAACTGGCAAAACTCCCCTTGTGGGGAAGGCTCATGTCCAGCAGTGGACAGTTAACGGCTGAAATAATAATGTATATGAGAACTTCATGAGCAAAATATGAAATTGGTGCAAAATTGTTAATAGCCGATTTAGATGCAGCTTATTCTATTTTATTAATATTTTAGAACAATTTTTAAATAATCATGGAAAAATATAGAGAACCGTTCAACAATTGAGTGGTGTTTGGCAATTGAGAGGCCCCAGTGTCGGCCGGTGGCGCACCGGTGCGCACACTGTTACCTTGAGCATCATCTCGGACTTGAGCTTGCCGTCGTCGGGCACGTTGTCCGGGTTGGGCGGGCCCAGCGACGAGTAGTAGTCGCTGAAGCTGGACAGGTGGTCGCGGAACTCCGCCGCCGTCGACATCGCCAGGAAGATCTGACTGCGCCGCCCGTCCGCGCCGATCTGAACACATACAATACAACAACTTGCCTGCGATATTTATTCTTTCTATACTACGAATTAATTCTGACATACATATGAATGTATCATATTTGAATACATAATATATTTACAATAAAGCACTTGATTTGTTTAACAATTTAAATAACTGTTTACTAGTTTGTATTGGCATAAATAGGATATAATTGAAAAATCAAATCTTCTTGAAAAACTAACAAATAAATTTCTTGCCCATTCTTTTCAGCCGGAATTACATTAGAATAGAATAGAATAGAACAGAACAGAATAGAATAGAATTCAGAATACAATTCTAAATTGGCTCGAGCCTGGATTTGCTAGCAATATACCCTATCAGGTCGACTTCCACGTGGTCCCCACTGAAAATCATACTGTATGCCAGGTGTATTCATCACGATGGGCTAACTGACTTGCCTTTTCATTCTCACCTATCATCCGTTACTGGTGCCTCGCCAGCATAGGCGGTGTTACCATTTCATTAAAAAAAATAATTCGTTGCCTGGTTCCTAACACAAGATATTCTAGCTTGATGATTAAGCAATAGATGTGTTTAAATAAGTATGACATTATTATAATATTACTATTGTATATAAATGATAAATGATTGTATGTATAACTTGGTTCAACGCGCTCTACCTACTTAAGCACTGTATTTGGTATGCTTTTATTTATATCATTAACTGATAATTATTTAATTAAATCATAAAATTTATTATTATAAAATTCAACACAAAATGTATTTTTTTTAATTTATGTAATTAATTAATTTATTCTGATTTGATACATATAGCACGATTCAAGTATACACATAGATCTCACACAATGTGATGGGGCTTAACAACTAGAATATATTAAAACTTAAGATCAGACCAGAAAAATAAAAGAAGTACACTAGTTATTCTGTGAAACAAATAAGTGACAATAGCCACTTAGCAATTTTATTTTATATTGTTTACAAATTGAATTTTATATCGGCGCCGGTAATAGGCATAAGATGCTCTCTAATTTATGTTTTGTTTTACATAAAATGATAGGGATCTCCGATAAATGAGGTGGCATAATAAAGAGTTACGATTAACGAGCTGGTTATGTAATGCCGATAGCGAGGTATCGCCCCACGCTGCCGGTACTGAACGCTCGCGCTGTCTACTCGACCGCTGGTTTCACGCGATGCTTGCGTCAACGTAGCTACCGATTGCCATATAAAAATTCCGTAATATTAACTGAGTGTGTCTGTATGTAGAGACGTACAGACATACTCAGTACGTCTCTACGTACGACGTACGTGTAGAGAATAGAAGGGGCAAAATGCTGGGCTACCTTATACGACATGACGATTTTTTAAGAGCATAGTAGAAGGAAAAATAGAGGGCAAAAGAGGAAGAGGAAGACCGAGGAATAACTACATGGGACAGATAAAGGAAACGCTAGGTATCATTCGTATAGGGAGATAAAGGATATGGCCTGGGATAGAGCTGGCTGGAGGAAGATGCATGAATTGGTTGCACCGACAAGAGGAAACTCTTAAATGAAAAAAAAAACATGTCTGTACGGCGAGTACAGACATACTCGGTGTAGGTGCCGGCATAAAACTGGCCTTCACTTTTTTTGTCATTGGTTTCGTAAGCGACGACTAAGGGAACATAATGGTTGAAAGATGGGCAGAAGCATCCCTCTTAAATCAACACCAAAGGCATAATTGCGGTTGCCAAACCGTTTGCCAAGCATGGCAACTACTGGCAAACCCCTCTTAATTATAGGGGAGGCCTATGTTCAGCAGTGGACAATTATTGGTATAATATAGTATGGTATGTCTGTTAGTTTTTGTCTAAATTGAATGTGTAATACAATTATATGTATTTCTAATTGAACTGTCAAATCTTAAAATTATTAAACGAAATTTCTAATGTACCTAAGTAGTATATTCATTTATTTTAACATTTATTATATAAGCAATAATAGTTGTGGCACTTCAGCCGCCCGCTAACGAAATGCTTTCTTACTGTATTGGGTTGACTGGAAGAGATCTCTGTCAGAGATAAGTCCACCCTTGCTCACAATATTTATGAATACATTATTTTATATGTAACTTACAAGTGCAATAAAGAATATATATATATATATATATATATATATATATATATATATATATATATATATATATATATATATATATATACAAATAAAAAACAGTAAGCCTATTAGTTATCCAGTACCCATAATGAAGTTTAATTAGTTTGAGACTAGATGGCGTTGTGTAGACATGAACAGCACCATGGTTCATCACTATGATGCCCATGGTACCCCTCATACCTTACTATTCAAATTCAAAATAAATTTGAAGTAAGCTTACACAAAAGCTCTTTTAAGTTGTAATGTTTTTATATTGAAAACATTTCTGAGATCTATGGAATTATGGCTCAGTACCCAGTAATTTTACTGCCATAACCGTCCCTTTGAAACCGAAACACAGCCATACGAGCACAACTGCTTCACAGCAGAGACACGAGTGGGACAAAAGTAGCCAAGCAGATGACTTTTGTACAAAGGGTCTCTGATTTACTTACCTCTGCAACTTTAATAAACCTCCCCCGGCGGTTCTGCTTCACGTCCAAGTAAAAACGCTTGGACTGGATCTGCAGCATCTTCGTCGCCAACTCCTGCTCCTGTGGCTGCTGACCTGGAACCAATGGATTATTATATTTAGTAATAATGTCTTTATACGTTGAATTAAGTGTTATTTTGCCGAAGTCCAACTGGTTAGTTGGTTAGAATGGGGGGAAAGGAATTGTGAGTAATGGAGACTAAGAATCCCATTGCTAGCAATATACCCAACCAGGTCAACCTCCTCGCGGTTCCTTTGATTTTCTGATTAATTCATCATGATGGGCTAACTGGCCTGTTTTCATTCTCATCGATCACTCTTCACTGGTGTTCCGCCAGCGTATCCCGTTAGCGCAGGCGGGGTTACCATACCATTTTCACCCATCAAAAAAAAAAAGTTGATTAGAATTATTTAAATTAAATGAAATTTATTGCAATAAATGTGGTAAATTTAGATAATATTATGTATGTTGTGTAATTTTGTGCAGCCTTAACATTTAGCCAGCTTGGCATGCAACATTTTTACATATCGCAGACTATTAATTCCCCTACATGTCGTATTCCGATGCTCAGACGATATAGATTTTTTTAATTTTTTTATAACACAGAGGCAAACGAGCAAGCGGGTCGCCTGATGGTAAGTAACTATCGCCGATCATCCAAAATACCGAAGATCGCCGGCCTTTTAAAAAGGAATATGCTTATCTTAAAGGTTATGATACTGTATCGGTTTGTGCGTGAAAGAAAATGCCTTGAAAACCCACGGTGGAAGATCGCCACTTCAAAGAAAGAAGAATTAATGTCCGCAGTGTACGCAGATGGTGACCTATGTTGTAAAGAGTTAGACCGTATTTGTTATACACGAAGAGCCAAAAAGACAAGTCTAAAACCTCACGTATCACCTTTGATATCTGAGTTACAGAAGTGAAATTATTGGGTAATGTGGCTAAAGAGCTGCAAGTCCTTTAAAATTTCCGAAGTTTCGGACTCATTTTCGTGTTTTCGTTCATACCTAAATCGGCCCAGTAAATGGAGCCTAACATTTCGTTCGTCATGAATCCTACCGTAAAAGTTCAATGGAATAATATTTTCACATTTTTAATGTTTTTAAACGGTAAGTATTATGTAATTTTAACATCAAATTTGTATTTTATTCGGCTTCGAAATTTCGGAAAACATTTCATGGTAGGCCCTCTGGTTGGCGGAAAAATAGGCAAGAGGTACCCATGCAGAGGGCGTTATATAAAATCTTCCACTGGGATAACAGATAGCGACATTACATGCTTTATAATGTTTTCAGATGTACATGTGAATTTTAAATAATGGCGATGAGTCACACGTAATATTCCTTCTCCGTCGTCACAAGACATTTGATACTACAAAGTGTTTGACACCAAAGAATATGTTTATTCCGTACTATAAGCATTCATTCTGCTTACGCTTTATTCTTTGCTGACACCACTTAATCATTATAAAACATATATATGTAGGTACGTTATTGATATGTTCAGTTGTGTAATTATCTACAATCCGATTTCTAATTACGCATTCATACTAATATGATCGTTACGTGGACTGCGCCGCGTAACGCCCGACTATTCTGTTTTACAACAGGAATTGGTCATTTCCTCGGCGATGCACGAGGAAGCCATGTTGCAATTGCAACTTAATTATGCCATTCAATCGCTTCAGTAGTTTTACAAAGAAATATTCGCTGGTAAATAGAATACAGCAATGGATGTACTAGTTTTTTTTTTTTTTTTTTTTGTATTAATCGACTTCCAACAGGTGGACGTTGCCGATTCGGTATTTTTTGTGTGTTACGCGATATCATCGTGCATTGTGAACCAAATACGATTAAATTGAAGTAGATTATGAAGCGATTGATACGGTATACCTATAAAGATTAAGATTTATACGGTCTTTGAAATAAAAACTTTGATATTATCTATTCTGACCGTCGTCATTCTTTTCCAGGTTTTTCAATTTTGAAGCAATTTCAAATTATTTATTGCACGAATATGGGTACATACATTAGATGAAAATAATAATTACATGTCCATTATTCCACATTCTACCATATCGGCGTGTACAATATAAAATTAAAGTAATCATAACTTATATAACAATAAAAACAATGTCAATAATAATAATAAAATGTAAAAAATGACAATAAAAATAACTAAATTGTATGTCTAATATTTATCAATGTAATAGTCATATTTCAAAAAGAAAGAGGCTCTTAATTCGTTTATTATATTTTGTATGTGTGTTTAACATCGTAAATATCTCAGTCGAGTTAGACTATTTTTTCAAATCGATAGAGTTTAAGTCCCATATAAACTTTGTTACAATTGGACTTGCGGAGAAAAATCTCCCTCACACGATTCCGTGTTCTAAATTCAAATATTTCAAATCTAGTACATACATATCTGTCACGCTTGTCTCCCATTGTGATAAGCAGAAACTATGGAATGCCAAATGCTCTAATTCAAACACACCTCTTTCGTTTTCTCCACATTCGCAAATCTTTTCATACACGCTCGCCGGTTACGGATACTTTTAATTTGGCCCTTCTTCAGCACGTCGCCTTTATCTTCATTCTTGTTCATTCGTCGCCTTATTTATCCATCCTCTCCAAATGGTCAAACCAAACAAACAAACATGTAGTGTTTTCACAAAATATCTTTTCTCGATCATAATATGTATTGTTCTTTTAAAATATAAGAATATTGAATACAGTAATAATTTATTCATGCCAGAACACTGTTAAGCTTCGGAAAATGTACTTCGGTCACGTCATAAGGAACGAAAAGTACAGAATACTACAAGAGTGGTAAAAAAGGAGGAGGTGACCTGTAGGATGCACAACTCTTCAGAGATAAATAAGCTCTTATGTTGTTCATCTCCGATGATGAAGTCTGAAGTATTTTTTTTATAATATAATCACCGTAACCTATGAACACCTGCAATACCAGAGGTATTACGCGTGCGTTGCCGACCCTGAAGAAACCTCTTTACCCCCCTTTTGAATCTACTTGTTAACTACTGCGTCTATTTATCACTTTTTATCAAGTGAATTGTCAGCGTGTTTGCCATTCTAAATATCACAAAAAAACTATCAACATCCTAAATTTTTTTTTGGAAGTCATCTAGTAATGGTAGTGCATGAATGTTTCCATGATTAATGTCCATGGTGCCGCTAGGCGCCTGTTGCCATTGCCATTTCATGTTGCATAAAAATGGCAAGAACATTATTTCAAGGCGCATAGAAAGCGATGTATAACCACTATAGACGGAGATAGTACATTAGTGTTGCGAAAAATGTATCATTAAATTAATTCAATTAACAAATGTTGTGTTGTGACTTTTGATGGTGCATTATACTAATTATAATTAGACAATGACTGTAAACTAGTATGAGAGATATGTCCTTCTATGTGTATTTCACAACTATTAGTTGAACAAAAATGTAACAAACAAGCAAACAAACCTTTACATTTATAATATTAGAAAATATACACCTATTGTGACATCCTAATGAAACTTTCTAAGGAACGGCTGGTACAGAAAGCAGTTTTTATCAGATTTTATTGTAAACAGTGATATAGCCAAAATGGGAGTTAATGCAGAAATAACTTCGAATATAGAAGAATGGAAAAAAAATACACAGATACCAAATAATAATTAATATAAGTGTAGGAAGGTGATGATGACAATTTAAATAAATAAGCTTCATGATGTCTGTATTAATATAATCACGCAGAAGGGTTTGTTTAAATGCACTAAGCTCTAGTTTATAGCTAAGCTAAGGTTATAGGCAATTGAACAACTTATAAAAAAAGTTTAATTAATTAAATTAACAAAATTCTACCTAGACAATGACTGTACATGAGAGATATTTAAGGAAAATTAATAATATGAGGGGTTTAATAAAGCTGAGAGATACCAATGCAAAAACTACTGCACCAAATTGGATGCAGTTGCGTTCAGAAGCTCCTCTTATTGATTGTTAATAAAGAGAGAGGTAGTATCAACTTACCAGAGTCAAAATTGTTCCCGCCTGCGTCCATTCCTTGACCATGATATTCTGAAACATATGCAATAAAAAAAAAACAATTACAAATAATATACTTTTTATAACTACTATACATGGATAAACATAATATGTACTCGTGGGGGGAAAGGATTGTTAGTAATGGGGGAGGTTAGTCCCCATCGCTATCAATATACCTTATCAGGTCGACCTTCACGCGGTTCCCCCTGAAAACCATTGTGACTAATTTATCATTGAATTCGTCATGATGGGCTAATTGACCTACTTCATCCTCACCTATCATCCTTCACTGGCGCCCCGCCGGCGTATACCGATAGAGCGGGTGGGGTTAAATTACCATTTTCACTCATCAAAAAAAATATGTACTCGTTTTGAATGCAATTTAGCATACGGTCCGCCTGACGAATACCAGGCCGCTTGCAACACCAGGGGACACCGTTCAGTTAGAAGGCCAGAAGCATGTTATCAACCCTTTTGCTACAAGTATTGTGTATACTACAAGTACTTGTACATCATGTACATAACTATTTTCATATTCTATGTAAGTTAATGTTTTATGAAACTCGGTATGGCAAACAAGCAAAGGTGACGGCCCACCTGATGGAAGATAACCATCGCCTATAGACAATAACAACGTCATTGACATTACAATTCATAACAGGATTGTTACAGACATATCTATTTTATTTATATGCTTTTACATCCATTTATAATATAAATATTAAGTTATACCAAAATATACACAGGTGGACTTATCCTTTTAGGTAAGTAGATTGGCACTATCCATTTTTTTTTATACAACTTAGAATGGTAAACAAGCTGACGGCCCACCTGATGGAAAGTGGTAACCGTCGCCTATAGACATGAGCAGTACCATGGACATAACAGAGTATACTGTTTCGCCCATGATACCCCCATGCGTTGCCATTCATGAGGACTCAGGTATGATTCCTCTGTACCCAGTAAATTCACTGCCATATCCTTCAAACCGAAACACAGCCATGATAACACAACTGCTTCACGGTTGAAACACGAATAGGACAGAGGTAAAAGTCAAAGTTAATTAAAACCAAACAGTTTTCTCAATTATTTATTTTTATGTGACAACATATTAACAATATTTTTAATTACAAAAACATTTAAGTTACAATCATGAAGTCGACTATTGGCATAAGAATGAATAAATTATGTACAAGTGACAATCTTCTCGCAGTTTCTGAATGCGGCAATGCAGCAAACTGTGAGTACAAAGGGCTTACCATGAAATGTTTTCCGAAATTTCGGAGCCAAACGAAACACAAATTAGATATTAAAATTAGATAATACATGCCGTTTGGAAATATTAAAAATGTTAAAATATTGTTCCTTTGAACTTTTATGATAGGGTGTATGACGAACGAAATGTTACACTCCATTTATTGGTCCGATTTTGGTATAAACAAAAACACGAAATTAAGTCTGAAATTTCGGAATTTCATTTCATGGTAGACCCGCAGTTCTTCGCTTCAGATCTTGCGTAAGTGGTAGGGTTGTTACAAATTTATTCATATTTAACAAATATACAATTATTTGAAAATTTACATAATTTACATTAAAATTTATAATATTAACACCTATATTCGAATTACAAAAATATTTTAATGAAAAAATAAATAAAGATAGAAGAAGAAATATTTATGATCCGTACCGGACCCAAAAGTCCCCATGACACTTGTAGCATTTGAAAAATAATGTTTATTAATCAAAACGGAATTACCAGTCGAATTAGAAAAATACTTTTTGCATTTGACAGATCATTTCTTAGCAAGGTTATAGTCTTCGACATCACAATACGACCACGGGCGGAGTCGCGGAATGTAGCTAGTTTTATGATAGCGACATACATACATCAAAGTAAAGTGCAACCTCTCAGTGTCTGTTGCTTACCAGTAAAGAAAAAAAACTTTTTAAAAAATGCTTAAATATAAATTTACTTGAATAAACATATTTCTTTCTTTCTTTCTTTCTTAACAGCGTCCAGCCTCCAGCATCATTGCTAGCAATAACCTTGTCAGGTCAATCTCCCCGTGATCCCCCCTGAAAATCTTTGCACTAAATTCCAGGTATATTCATCATCAGATGGGCTAATTGACTTGCCTTTTCATTCTCACTTATCACACACACCTCACTGGTGCCCCGCCAGCGTATACCGTTAGCGCAAGCGGAGTTACCATTCCATTATCATCCATTAAAAAAATCCAAGACTGACCCATAATAGGACGCGAACAGTCACCGCAACCATCGTAGGTATTATTATTGAATTCACGGGAGTATCAGTTCCACCTGGATACATTCGTATGCCACTGACCTCAAACTAGGTAATCCTGCGACTCGACGACAGAATAACTCGGCACTTCGAGAGGCAGCTGTCGCTTCCCATTCCTACTTTTTCTATCGCTATACATTTTTATTATGATTAAATTAGAACAAATTATAATAAGAATTTGTTGTATTTAATTTTAATTAGATTACATAAATACTATTTATAATTTATGTAACAGTGGCGCCCTCTATTGTTTTATAGTGTTCGTTTTGTACGAACGCCTTTGATCTCACTCAACAGACGATGGTTTACATAACCACGATTCAGTGAATGAAAACCCAAATGTAAAAATAAAAAAATCTTTTTCAGTCTAGATAGAATTAATGGGAATTAATGGGATTAGGATCAACACAAGGTGGTTGTGAACGCATTCAATTAAATAAAAATCATCAAAATCGGTCTAATATTTGCAAAGATAAATTTACAAAAAAAAGTACAACTAATAAATCTCTGTACTACAAGTACTTCAAATCATTTGTCATAATTGACTACCAATGCACAGTTCAAACAACTAACTACTCTAGAAAGCTGAAATTTGGAACGTAAGCATCCGAAATATAAGCATCCGATAAGGGCTAATGAAAATTTAAAGGAGAAACAAGACACCACTATGTATATAATATAAAAGTAAAAGTATGTACAAAAATTTGTTACTTATAGAATTAGATATTCGTGAAATCCGAAAAATTTAGTACACAAATGGACTATACTCATTCCAGATTTGTAGATTAACAATTTAAATACGTCACTTTGTCCTTTCTTCTTCTTTTTTTAAACAATTTTAAAAAAAAACGTAATACAGTTCACACGCCGGATAGAATAGCATTTAATTTTCCTTCAGAGGTGGAGGCGAATAAAAGGCTAAAATTATATCAACCAGTCAAATTCAGTCTGAACACACGGTTTTATTTAAAACAATAATATTCCTAACTATATAAATATGGAGCGCATAAATTTGTGTGTAATTACAGGTGGCGCACGGTGGAAATGGGAGCGGGACAGGGCGCAGTGGGCCGCACGCAATATGCATAGAATCTAATTGCGACTGCACTGCATTAGTGTACGTCAGGCCACTTTGCCTACAGCCCACCTGGATAATTGGCAGACGGAACCATCGCACGTACGTTTCTGCTGACACATGCTTGAGATAGAACGAGAAATGAACATTTTGTATATTAATTTCCCCTTGAGTTTGGGAGGCTGGTGATCTGTAAGACGGGTTACCCTATTACTTACACCGGGCTCTTACAAAGATTGTTATAAATTGTAATCTATGTAGCTGTAAGTTTTACTATGCTATTTTGTGAGAAAAATAAATATATATTTACTATACATTCTTTTTCATGCTTACCGCATAGAATAGCATGTGGTCCCGGCATAGAATAGGCCACCCCTTCTTTTCCCGTGGGTGTCGTAAGAGACGACTAAGTGAAGGCGAGGGATGGACAGCAGCGTCCCTCTTAAAACATCTCCAAAATCTTACTGCAGTTGCAAAACCACCTGCCAAGCGTGGCAACTACTGGCAAAGTCCTCCTAGAGATAGGTTTATGTTCAGCAGTTCACAATTAAAAGCTGATACGAGTATGACATATCGGCTCTTACGACACCCACAGGAAAGGATGGAGTGGCCTATTCTATGCCAGGAGTACACGTCAAGCATATGCTTTATAGGAGACGGGCATTCTATCAGATGGACTGTCAGCTTGGTTGCCATTCAAGTGTTATATCGACAAACTTATTTATATTAATTTTCCCACGACAGAAGCTTACAAAATCTAGTCGTTATGCTGAGTGCATTATATCCATATAATATGATACAGCGATAGCGTGTACTAGGCATGCAGTGTAGTTACACTTGCTGTTGCTAGGAGACAGTTCACTTGCACAATGCCCAGTCGAGCGGTGCCGCTAATGTGCACTGATTAGCAAGTGCTTTACGACACCGGCTGGGATTCGATTAATATGCATACCTATATAATTATATTACTTCCTAACAACTCGCCCCGGTTTTGCTCGGTTTTTTTTTTTTTTTAAATAAAATACAACTCTTACGCTGATATATAGTACATACTTGTAGCTTTTTATAGGTGAAAGAATTAATATAAATCAAGTAAAATTTAAATTCCTTCAGTTTATATATGGATTTATTTAAGTATGAATTAGTACTTTAAAATATACATTTATATATTCACATTATTGTAAGTATGCATATCTATATATGTATTTAAAAACAAACAAATTTTTGCGCCACCAGTCAAACTATTTTTAATTATTTTATTTAATTACCTTCTCCATCCAAATGTTGACTGGAAGAGATCGCTCTTAGCGATAAAGCCGCCCATTGTTTCCCAATGTAATATTTTCTTGTAATTGTTTATATCTATAACAAGTCTACTATTGTAATCTTATGAAGGAAATAATAAAGAGTTTCTATCTATTTACTTTTTTTAATTTATTCATTACAAACGAAAAATAAAATTTAATTTGCAATATTAGTTTAGGTCTATACAAGGTAAAATGTAAATCATAAACATCCTTTTATTGGAGACTTCTAGCAGTGAAAGTAAAAATTATCACCAAGGGAAAATGGGTTGAAAATCGACTAAGAATTTAGAGCCTCGCGTACGTCCTAAAATTTTTGAACCTAAGTTAACGTGGTAATTTCAAAATT